ACATAGGTTCGGTTAGAAGGACCGTTACCTGGATCGGGTTCAGTGGCCAGGGCTGAGTTGATGAGGTCAGTTATTTCCCAGTTGACCACTCCCACTGTACAGGAAGCCGGAAGAACAGGTTCAGGTGTCTCGGGATAATCGACGGAGTAGAGACGAGAGAGAGAGTCGGGCTTCATGTTCTTGGATCCGGGTCTGTAGGAGATGATGAGATTGAACCGAGAAAAGAAGATTGACCACCTGGATTGGCGGGGATTAGCTTGTTTGGTTGACTGGATGTAAGCCAGGTTCTTGTGGTCTGTCCATACAAGAACCGGGTGCTCAGCTCCCTCCAGCCAATGCCTCCATTCCTCCAACGCCAGTTTGATGGCCAGAAGCTCTCGGTCACCCACATCATAATTTTGCTCTGCAGAAGAAAGTCTACGGGAGAAGAAAGCACAAGGGTGTATCTTTTGATCTGAGTCGAGTCTCTGGGATAGGACTGCTCCAACACCGGAATCTGAAGCATCCACCTCAAGGATAAACTGCTTAGCCGGATCAGGTTGCATAAGGACTGGTGCTCTGGAAAACAATGACTTTAGTTTTTCAAACGCTGCTTGAGCCTCGGGAGTCCACTGAAAACTGCGTTTGACAGAGGTCAGAGAAGTTAATGGAAGGGCGGTCTGGCTGTAGTTTCTGATAAACCGACGATAGAAGTTAGCAAAACCCAAAAACCTTTGTAGCTGTTTGCGGTTCTCTGGAACTGGCCAGTCTAAAACTGCCTTAATCTTGTCCTCAGATGGTTTAACCTGGCCGCCCTCGAGCACAAACCCCAAAAAGGTGACTGAAGGTTGATGAAATTCGCACTTCTCGGCTTTCACGAACAGTTTGTTCTCCAGCAGTCTCTGTAAAACAAGACGGACATGTTTCTTGTGTTCATCGAGGTTCTTGGAGTAAATGAGTATGTCATCAATGTATACGAAAACAAATACGTTGAGAAAGTCTCTTAGAACATCATTTACGAGGGCCTGGAAGCAGGCTGGAGCGTTAGTTAGACCAAAGGGCATAACAAGATATTCGAATTGGCCCAAGGGTGTTTTGAAGGCAGTTTTCCATTCGTCGCCCTCACGGATCCTAAGGAGATGATAAGCATTTCTTAAATCCAGTTTAGAAAACGCAGTAGCTCCCCGTACGGGCTCAAAAGCAGAGGCAAGGAGAGGCAGTGGGTATTTGTTTTTAATAGTGATCTGATTCAAACCTCGATAGTCAATACAAGGTCTCAGGGAACCATCCTTCTTTCCCACGAAGAAGAATCCGGCGCCCAATGGAGAGGATGAAGGGCGAATTATACCAGCAGCTAATGATTCGTTGATGTATTTTTCCATAGTTTCCCTCTCGGGCTTGGAAATATTATACAGTCTGCTGCTAGGTAAAGGAGCACCAGGTAAAAGTTCAATGGCGCAATCGTATGGTCTGTGTGGAGGTAGGGACGTCGCACTGACCTTACTGAAGACAGGGGCTAGATTGGGGTACTCAGAAGGAACTGAAGAAAGGTCAGGAGAGTCCATCTCCCCCCCACCTCTAGGAGACCCCACCAAGGGGGCAGCAGAACGAAGGCATGTCTCATGGCATGAGATGGACCATGATTCCAGGTGACGTTCAGTCCAGTTAATGTGAGGATTATGCTTCTCCAACCATTCGAAACCGAGCACCAGCGGGGAACATGCAGAGGGAAAAACAAAAAATTTTATTGTCTCTCGGTGGTTACCTGACAGAAGTAGCTCGAGGGTCTGAGTTTGGTGGGTAACTTGATGGAGTCTCTTTCCGTCAATAGCGGATACACTGAGAGGCTGAGTTAGAGGAATGGTTTCAATTTGGAGTTGCTGGACGAGGTTAGAATCGATTAGGTTACGTTCACAGCCTGAGTCGATGAATGCAGAGAAAGAGAGGCTTTGATTAGCACAGAAAAGCGTGGCAGGCAGCAAAAGTCGAGGAGATTTCTTAGTGTTTATTTGGCCCGCCAGACTCCTCAGATTCTCTGACGGGCCCAGGCTTTTGATTTAGCCGGGCAGGAAGCAATGAAGTGTCCACTCTCACCACAGTAGATACATAGTTTGCTTAGAAAACGCCTTTGTCTCTCCTCTGGAGTGAGCCTGGTGTGTCCCACCTGCATGGGTTCGACATCCCTTTCGCCCGAATGAGAGGCCTGAACAGGCAACGGTAGAGACTGGGACTTAGGCCTCTGAATGGGCAGCTGCTCTGTAGAGGGAGAACAAACAGTCAAGTTAAGAGAGTTAGAAGAAAGTGTACCCTGCTTCTTAGAACTGTTTCTGGCACGAATTCTATTATCCAATCTAATGGAGAGGCGAATTAAATCTTCGAGGGTAGCAGGTTCGTCGAGGGTTGCGAGCTCATCTTTAATGTGCTCATTTAATGCCATGAAAAAGGCTGCCTTTAGAGCGCTTTGGTTCCATCCGGAAGCTGCCGCTTTAACCCGGAAGTTAATGGAAAATTCAGCCACCGAAGAGTTCCCCTGTTTTAGGTTGAAAAGGGCTCTGGAATCAATAGTTTGGTCTGTTTCTTGGTTGAATACCTGGGTAAATTCAGAGATGAAATAAGAGTAGTAGCAATTCAAGCTATCGTCAGCGGCAAATCTTGCCTGAGCCCATTCCAAGGCTCTTCCTGTTAACTGTGAGAGAATGAAAGTTATCTTCTTGTAATCCGTGGAAAAGCTGCCAGGGGAGTTTAAAAAAATCAACCGACATTGAAATAAAAATCCTTTGCAGTCTTTCATGTTACCAGAAAATCTTTCTGGGAGACTAGGACGGAACTCTGATGACGTCACTGCTGGTGACCTCGGAGGTGGAACTGGACCCGGAAATGGTTGTGGCACTGGTGTAGCGTTAGCATTGTTTAAACGACTGGTGAAGTTTCGGACTACATGATCTTGGAATTCAATGCTGGAGTTTAACTCACTCAGAGCTTGAACTTGTCTGTGGATTTGGGCATCCCGCTCCTCCAATAGTTGACGGAGATGTTCTGCTGGGCCTTGAGTTTGGCCGCAGTGTTCTGTCATGATGGGTTCACTAAAAGCGACCCAAGAATGCAGAACACCACTGACGGACACAAGGATGAAAGTTTAACAGTTTATTTATGCACAAGCACACAGTATACACTGGTTCAGGTTCGGGGCCTGGATTCTGGTTCACCGGAGTCTGCGTGAGAGACAGTTCAGTTAGCGTTGCCAACAGAGGTTTGATTTCCTGAAGTTCACTGATTGTACCTTGAGGGTTCTTGAGGTTAGATTTGGGAGAGTCTCTTTTGGATCTGGAGAAGAGTTCATCAGCAGAGTCCGTTCGCTGCTTCAGCGGCTCACGTCTACAATGAACAGACCTTGGCTTTGGGATTCCCAGCTCTAGTCCAGAGCTGCTTGGAGGTTCTCTGAGATTCCTCAGGTTTGGCTCTGAGGGTCGGCTCGGCAGGTTAGCTCTTCCTGAGCTTTCACAGAGGAGACACAGGTTTCCTAGGAGACAGAGACAAGGGTTAGAATCCAAGCTGGATTCAAAAGTCGTGGAGTAACACTGAGGATCTTGGCTTAAGCGCTGACCAACTGGAACAACACTGCGGCGTTGAGGCAAGGTCTGAAGACAGCTTAAGTAGTGGATCCTCTGATGATCTTGACGAGCTGCAGCTGTGCAGGAGGCTCCCTCAGAGGATCCACGGCGGACTCTGCTGGAGAAAGGTGGAATTTCTCCAGCTCCCAACATAATCATGTGCACTTCTATCTCATTTATTCGGAAATGTCCAAATAAAATCCCGGGCAAATAACTGCCTTCAACATTTAACTGTATACTAAATCTATTTCATATTAAACCCATTTCCTCAGTCCAACATCGCAGTAGTAGCATTATTCTGTGAAAGTGCTTTTCTTTAGGAATCAGCCAATAGTTTCTCCTTGAGGAAAACCTGTATAATGGTCGATGCTGGAATGGGGCTTCTGCTTCAAACAGGACAACGACCTGAACAGCCAAACAGAGTGTCATGATTCTGCACTTTTTGGTTCTGCTTTAGTTTTCTTTTTGAGTTTTCAGTTACACTTTGATTCATGTTTGTCTGTGTTTTCTATTTTATTGGTTTCATTTCCATTTTGTGTGGTTTTCTGGTTGTATTTGAGTTCTTATGTGTTTCTTGTTTACTGTCTGTTGCCGTCTTGTGTCAGTCTCTTCTGTCTCCAGTCTTTGCTATGTTTCACATATATACTCCTTCTCTTCAGTTACCGTTTGCTGGTTCCTGGTTTCTTTTTTTTGTGTAAAATGTCTCAGAAGACAACAATAATTTAAGCTGCACTGTTATTCTGTCATTTTAGTGAAAATAGCTCAAGCAGACAGTGAAAGTGTTGATGAGCAAAATGAAAGGTGTTAGTCATTTTGTTTATCATTTAACTTTTTATTGGTGTTTTTCACTTTTTTTTTTACATATACAGTGTACATGAACGTTTCACATTCAACTTACCGGTAATATAACAGAAAACTGTTCCTCTATTTGACCGTTGTCCCTTCTAGTGTCTAGTGTGTCAGTTTTTCCATAATGTAGATTTCTTCTATTATTCAATTCAATTCAGTTTATTTATATAGCGCCAAATTCACAACACATGTCATCTCAAGGCACTTTACAGTTCAACCAGATCATACAGTCAAATTGATACAAAGTTTTCTATCTAAGGAAAACCAGTTGATTGCATTGACTCATTGACTCAAATACAATCCCTCACACTAAGCATGCTTGTAGCGACAGTGGAGAGGAAAAACTCCCTTTTAACAGGAAGAAACCTCCAGCAGAACCAGGCTCAGTGTGAGCGGCCATCTGCCGAGGCCGACTGGGGTTCAATGAGACAGAAGCAGAGACACAAAAAGCAGCTGTAAAAGGCGGCCCCGTCCAGGAAACACACAGCCAGGCAGACAAGCTCCGAGCCAGCTCCCATGCCAGAGGACGAAGAGAGCACATCCACTCAGTCACGGTCAGAGAAACAGGACCACACTTGAAAACAGGCCAATCTCCAGCATCTATAAACAAGGGTGTTGATGGAACCAGCACAGCTGATGTTTCTTTCCAGGATGGCGTCAGAGCCAAACAGGAGCAGTCGAGGCAAAGCTACTCTTAGGAAAAGCAGAGAGAGCATAATGTTAGAGATTGAACTAACAGATTCTGCAGAATAGGAGAATAGAGAGAGAATGAAGCAGTATGATGAAATGGGGGTCCCTATGTCCTCCAGAAGTCTAAGCCTTATTCAAATCCTTTGATTTGACAAGGGGGGTTTCCCTGTTCCCATTTCCTCATAATTGCTTTTATGCTAGCTATTAACAATATCTTAATCAGATACCTGTCTTTTACCCAAAGATATAGTATCACACTACTCATAGGAATATCATATCCCAGAATCTTCTTCACAGTTTAATGTACCTTTTTCCAAAATTGAACAATTTTAGGACAGTTCCAAAATATGTGAGAGTGGTCGGCGTTCACTGATCCACACTTCAGCCAACACCCCATGTTTGTATCCTTATATTTATTCTTGGGTGTTAGTCATCTTTACTCAAAAATAATAGCTTTTCCACAGTTTTTGGTTTTAATCAGGTTGGAAGTTATGTCTTCAACCAATCTTTTGGCTAAACCAACCAATCTTAATTTGGCACAGTTTTTACTCAATCTATAACTGTATGATGTGTACCAATACAATACAGGGGGAGGGGTGGCCTAGTGGTTAGAACACTGCATTCCAGAGGTTCTGAGTTCCCCCACTGTGGCAGACTGCCATTCTAAGTCCCTGAGCAAGACTCTTAACCCTCACACTGCTCCCCAGGCTCTGCACAATGGCAGCCCACTGCTCTCCAAAAGGATGAGTTGAATGCAGAGGTAAATTTTTCCAATGTGAGATCAATAAAGTCCAATCTATATATCCTAACTCTATCCAATTGCTATCCTACAAACTCCCATATCTTAACTGTATATTGATAGTGTTTAAATGTCTGTCAAAGTTCCAGGCGAGCTGAACCACTTTCTGACGCAGTCACTAGGTATGGAGGGGTAGCGAGGCTTCAGATGTCATCTATTTTGGCTCCTCCTATATGCACTGTGCGGAAACTCCCCTTCTAGTACTCGACACATGCCTCAAAGCCTCGGCTCACCTCATAACATCACTAAAAGAAACCACCTCAGCCTCATTCTCTGCACTTGGGTCCTCTTCAAACCTCCACACAATCTGATGCAGAGCCGATGGAACAATTTAGACCCTAGCACATTCATATACTAGAATGGAATAGTAAAGTTTCAAATCCAGTTGAAAATTTTGGGTTAAGACTTGGAAACTATCGAAGAAAATCTCCAATCTAATGAGACTGAACTGGACTTTTTAATGAGGGCTAAATACAAATGCATACACCATTTTAAAAATTTATATTGTAAAACCTAATGAATAATAGTCCTTCGCCTCCACATTAATTTACTCGGTTGGTTACCGCATGCAATAAGAAAAAAATACTGAGGTCGGCAGTTATGGTATAATAAAATATTATTAAGCTAAAAAAGTGTGAATACTTTTGGCACTATAAAGTGAAAAGAGGGGAAATTGAAAGAAATGGGTAACAAAAATCATCCTTTGGGAACTCTTTTCCCTTAGTTAGTGTGTTATTATATAAGTATTGCAACTTTCTACAGAAGGTTGAGGGTGTAGTATCAGGTCAAGGAAGTCGTAAAAGGTCAAAGAGATAAGGGAAGTTATCGGAAGCTTCAGTTTGCATTCAGTAGAAATACAACATTGCATCAAGACTGGGTGGACCATGTGCTGCTTTAGTTGGACACCGTGTAGTGTCCTTGCAAAAGAAAAACATTTTTTACACTTTATATTTTACATATTGGATAAATTAATTATAACAATTATTGTGCAAAAGAAAATTAAAAAATGTAACTCTGACATACCCCAAAAAAACTTTGTTTAAAGAATCCAAACAAACAAAATACTATTTGAAAAAGCTGTATTGTGCACATACAGCTGAACAATTTTCATGTAGAAACATACTTTGGTGTTGTGTGATATTCCTCTGGGCATGGATTCTATTTCTCTAGAAAGAGGAAGTTATTTCCTAGAAGTGCGGCTATTGAGACCAACTATTCAGCCACAGCAATGTTTTTTTTTTTTTTACTCATGGCCTCTGACATTCAAGCAAGGAGAGTTTTTCTGCCATTCATGAAAAGGCAGCTAAAATTTGAAGCACACTAAATTTAGTGCTCGGGTGTAACTGACACTTCCAGAAATTGGTGCGAGCAACTGGTCCCTATCTAATAATATGTCCTTCAGACAGATGGGTTTGTATTCCTGTCATTTAAACCCTGCTGATTCATACAGACAGGGATATTTGCAGCCCCCCCCCCAAAGAAAAAACATTTGCTTACTGGTGCTGTCACTTCCATAACTTTGATCCACTCCATTTACATGCACCTGAAATACCCCTGACAATAGATGTACTCAGAGCACCCTTCTGACTCTAGTGCTTTAACATATGGGTACAGATAAACAGAGGTTTGGATCACGATCAGGATTGAGTGATATATTTAGCAGTGTCCTGCTAAAGTTGCCACTCCCTAAATATTTTTCCTATTAATCACATCACAACTTCAATCCTAATTATTTCTAACAGAAGGGGGTAGAATACCCAAAATTCTACTTAAGTAAAAGTAGCACTGCTTCATCATTTTTACTCAAGTAAAAGTAAAAAGTGGCTTTTAAAGAATTCACAATTGTAAATAATTGTTTAAAAATAGCTTTTTTTTTTCATTAGGTGAAGTTACTCATAACTATTAACCTGACATAATGGGCTTTAAAGTTCTGACCCACATGCAGAGAACCACTCAGAGATTACGGGTTAAAGTTCACCAGGGTAATTGTAGGTTAGCAAACACTAATGGAGATTGAAACTCAGTGGGGAAACAATGCTGGAACTCAGCGGACCGGTGAACCGGAACCGGAAACTCTGAAGGGGAGATCCCAGTGATCAGTTCAGGGTGGACAGTGGGAAAATAGACTGAGGCTTGTATATTGCTGGAGAGGCACTTACTTTTGGGGGGCTCTTGGTTTATCCTTGGATCCAGTTTGTGGGGGTTTAATCTAGAGAAGAAGGAACTTGTTTGAGAGCGGACAGGCAGACATAGGTTAGACCCAGGGGAGTAAAGGAGCGGACTGTCAATTGGTTTTCCAGGAGTGAACTTGAACGGATCATGTGGAGGTTTTCCCCTTGCTCAGTGAGACTCAGTAAATCCTTCCAGGGGTAGACGGTCCAGGCTTATCCAGGTACACAGGAAGTCTTCCTGCCGAAGAACAAAGACAAAATACAAGTTCAGACTCAAAGAAACAATGTTACAGTTAGACTCTGCTAATCTCAGTTTAACTAGAGTACCCAATACTGGCAAACACTCTGGCGGCGAGGTAGTGACAGCCAGCTGCTCAAGTACTCCTCTGGTAATGACCCAACGAGCTGCAGGTGTGCAGGGAGGCCCAACGAGGACAGGGCACCGCCTGGTGGTGGAGAGAGGAAAACACAAAAAACAACCCAGACAAACTGGAATCCTAACATAACCAGAAATTTTACTTAAGTAAAAGCAATGATTCTTTAAATGTTTTTACTCAAGTAAAGTACAACAGAATAAAACTACTCATAAAAGTATGTCTTTTTCAAAAAGTTACTCAAGTAAATGTAACTGAGTAAGTTAACTAGTTACTACCCACCTCTGATTTCTAAGGTATTGAATATGACAGAATAACACATCGGTGTGAATCATTGCATAGTGTGAGAAAGTGAAACATAATTTTCAGTCCTTCAAAATCATTCCTTTTTTCCACCAGCTTTGCCCATCTGCAGACTATCCTTTTGCTTTTTGCTCTAGGTCAAGATTCTTCTAAATTTGGATTGGGCCATACTATCACATCTTTATCCTTTAATCTAAATGATTTTACTGTTGCTCTGGTAGTACAGTATGTTTATGTTTTTTTTGTTGTTGTTGTTTTTAATTCAGCTGGAAAGGGAACCTTCACCACAGTCTAAACTGTTTTGGAGCTTCTATCATTTGAGCGCCACTCATGATTGCAGAATTTCCCAATGGAGTTCTGGATGTCAATTGGTCCTTCAGAGTTATCACAGACCTCTTGGCACCTTCTCAGATTAATATTTTAGGTTACACCGAGGATAAGCTTTTAAGTCACTAATGTTCTCTAACAAACTTCAGAGAACCTACAAAGATGTAACTAAAAACATAACGTCAGACACACTCCGCTTTGTTTTTAAAAGATATAAATATAAAAAATATAACCACGGATGTCTGGGGGACTGTGATTCGCCTACATGTTATGAATGCTGTCGTACCATAAATGATAAGTTATGAATAGTTTAGTTTACCCATAGGAAGACGTTATTTGGATATAACCTAATATCTTAAGAACAGCTCCAAATTACACAAAACTCATATGGTTTAGTAGAGCACGATGTAATAATGTAAAATCAAGGGCCCAATGTAAAAAAAAACGACGTTCTCCTTTAAGGTTTATAAAATGGCATGCAATTTCCAATGAAAGAGAGAGGTGTGTTAAAGGAGAAGGCGGGGATGGAGGGAGAAAAGAAGGAGCATGCCATTCAAACAATAACGTGCGCGGGAAAAGCAGGGCAGATAAACGTGGAGCAGGGCGGGGGGAGGGTAGATGGAAGTCTTTTTATCTCCAGTTTCCCACATCCTGTGAATGGGCTTCAAACACGGCCACCCAATTTGAAAGAATGAGCGGAATGCGCCTTTTCCCCCCTCCCAGTGCGCTGCAGTGATGCGCAGTTTGAGAGACAGGGCCAAGAAAGAGGCAGGGAGTTCACCGCAGCCTTTAAAATGCTTTGTTCCATGTGAAACCAGTTAGGTAAATAGCGACTTGAGTAGATGAAACCGTAAATAATGAGCTGTCTTCTGGTTACTTGCGCTTCGTTGTGCAAAATAGTCTTGAGTTAGTCTGACTGCAGATCTAGTGGCGGTTTTTTTAGGGGAAACATGGAAAGCACAAGACAATTATTAATAATAGACTATACTATAAAATATATATATATATATATAAACATGTATAGTGGTATATTTGATTAATACATATTTATTACCTATTATTTAAAGGTTCAACAAGAATTAAGCAATAAAATGGATTAATGTAACATTAAACAGACTATTTCTTTATATTATTTGTGCCTTTTTCTATTTAATGAGCAAGGTTGGGAATTTGCATCTCCCTCCAACAAGAGTTCATAATCACGCATCATTCAACCTCTTTTGGCGCGTTTTGATTCCCGCCATGTCTGGCTGGCCCCGTTGTTTATAAATGTGTCTCTACTTTCATCGTATGATTGACAAGCGTTTGGAATCCTAACTGCTTCCCCATTGGCTTAAAGGACCAACGAAGGCGGGGTTAATTGAGAAGCTGGGGCGTACTGTTACGCCTTCGACTACAATATAATACTCCTACCCCCACTTTTTGTTTCCAGGAGCCGGTGTCTGACCACGGCACAGGCGTTGTATCTCGGAAGATATCTACCACGTTTTACTCATCTGTTCATAAATATTTCGAGTACAATTGTGCTTTCTATTTTTATAAAGTCCCACTGAGCGGCTGGCGGAATTTTTGTTGTCTGGATGAAAAAAATCCTGCCGCATTCTTTTTTTGTTGTGGTTTCTGCAACGTGCCCGGCCAGCCGCGTTTCATCTTCTTCATCTTTCATCGGAATAAAACATTACAACCGTTGCCGCCAGTAATCGCTGAGCTGGATTTAATTGAAGAAATGCTGCTTTCCAAGCTGAATTCTCTGGCTCACATGTCGGCCGTGGATATGCCGGCGAAAATGCAGCACCAAATCCAGCAAGGTTAGACGCCCAGTTTTCTTTTCTTCTTCCGTCCATGGAGGGACAGGGCTACAGCGATGGCTGCCGCACATTTCTAAAGCTTTGCTTGCCTATCAATAAGGATAAGGACTTTCACCGGCTCTTGGTAATCAGCGAATGTCTCTTGTTTTTGTTACAGTGAAGGAGAAGGAGCCTTTCGAGAAGCTTTATCAGGTCGGCGCGGTATTGGGAAGCGGCGGCTTCGGGACCGTCTACTCCGGTACAAGGACATCCGATGGAGCCCCGGTTAGTCCGCTTTCAAACTTTATGGTTCTATCAGCATTACAATATAGCTTACATTTTAAATGTTGTATTGATTTTTGACGTGGTATCTTTTTGCCGCCAGGTCGCTGTTAAACATGTATCCAAGGAAAGAGTGACGGAGTGGGTAGAGCTGGTAAGAGACTTCCTCTAACCGTGTGGTTTTATCGGTGATATTTGTGTTTTCTTTATTTAATTTATATGAAATGTATTGGTTTTCGTTTAGGCTAACGGCTCACGGGTTCCGCTGGAGATCATGCTGTTAAAGAAGGTCGGAACGGGCTTCCGCGGTGTCATCAAAATGCTGGACTGGTTCGAGCGGCCCGACAGCTTCATCATTGTCATGGAGAGGCCCGAAATAGTCAAGGACCTGTTCGACTTTATCACTGAGAAGGGCGCTTTGCCCGAGGAACTGGCGCGGAGCTTCTTCCGCCAGGTGCTGGAGGCTGTGCGGCACTGCCACAGCTGCGGCGTGGTGCACCGGGACATCAAGGACGAGAATATCCTCATTGACCTCCGCACCGGGGAGATGAAACTCATCGACTTCGGCTCTGGTGCCTTGCTCAAGGACACATTCTACACAGACTTTGACGGTAAGATGATGAAAACAAAAATATATTAGAATATTTCTAACCCTCTAAATGAAAGTAGGCCTCATTATAACTCGATAGCAGTAAGCTTGTCGCCCCCTAACGATACAAAGTGGTATTTTTACAACTCAAAGTTTGTAAACAAAGTCACGTGTCTGCTCACCCCCTCCCATATGGCATCCGGTCTCAACACAAACAGCAAGTCACACCAGTCTTGCTGTGTTTGCCATAAACACACTCAGCTGCATTTTAAATACTTTCGTTTTCAATATAATAATATTAAGCTAATCTTATTTGGTTGTGCTTACTGTTATTATAATTAATAAAAATGAATAATAATACATTAATAACTAATAATAATCATCTGCATTTAACCGATCCCCATTGCTCTAACCACTAAGCCTACACTCCACTTTCTATTTAGTGTGATGCCTCTGCAGTGTTGTGTGTGTAATTGTAATATGCATATTATACTGAGTTGCATTGTTCCTTTTCATCAAGAAGGTTATTGGTTCGATTCCTAGCTCAGGGTCTTTATGCATGGCATTTGCATGTTCTTCGGGTGCATGTGTGGGTTCTCTCCTGATACCCCAGCTTCCTCCCACAGTCCAAAAATATAACTGTTAGGTTAATTAGTATATTTGAATTGTCCTTAGGTATGAGTGTGTGTTTGCATGGTGGTATGTCTTTGTGTGCACCGCTCTCTCTGATGGAAAAAGTGGAGGAAGATTGATAGATAATAATAGTCCCCTTTTATTTTGATTTTGTTTGACAGGCACAAGGGTGTACAGTCCACCTGAGTGGATTAAATTTCATCGCTACCATGGTCGATCTGCCACTGTTTGGTCCCTGGGAGTCCTGCTGTATGATATGGTGTGTGGAGACATCCCATTTGAACACGATGAGGAGATCATAAACGCACAAGTTATGTTCCGGAGGAAAATCTCCACAGGTAGCCTCCAGTTCCTGTGCCCATCTTTGACAGTAGTTGTGATTGCTTTCTAACTTGGTGTCGCTCCCTTCTCCAGAATGCCAGCAGCTCATCAAGTGGTGCCTATCCCAGAGGCCTGCAGACCGCCCATCCCTCGAGGACATTACCAACCACTCGTGGATGCAGAACACCTCCCCTTCAGTGGTGCCCTCCACAGCACAGACAGAGAAGTCGGTCACAGAGATCAGGCTGCACAGCATCGCCCATGAGCCTACCACCTTCATACACACCCCAGTGGCTGTGGCGGTTGCTCGATGAGAGGGTGTATCTTCGGACTCAACAAAAAGGGACTTTTACAAAAAGTTTGCGTAATAGACTGCAAAAGAGAGAGTGTTGAGGACTGAGGTCCTCACAAGAGCCTCTGCACGTCGCCAAACGGACTCCGATCCATGTGATGGGTGTTCTTGTGCTCCCGAGGAGGGAGGTTGCAAACATCTGCAGCCGAGCAGCACATATTCCGGCCGTCCAGTGGGACAGCAGGCGAACAGCGCAAGTTATGTAAACTCTCGCCATGCAGCATTCCAGTCACTTCCTCCACAAAAGGAGTGGTGGAGTCATTGGTGATGAGTGTGAAAAGTACCATATGTGAAATTGTTGTAGGCAAGGGGATCCTGGAAATACTTGAATTTCTACAAACAGAAGTACTGCAACCTTTTTGTTCTTTATTTACTCCTTACATGGCTTG